ATTCTAGTTAGAGATTCATGAGTTTAACAGCCTCGGGATAGAAGCTGTTCCTCAGTCTAGTAGTTCTACACTTAATGCTCCTCAACCTCCTGCCTGAGAGGAGCGGGGCAAAAAGTGTGTGTGCTGGGTGAGTGGGGTCCTTCATGATGCAGGCGGCCCTCTTCCTGCATCTGGAGGTGTAGATGTCTGTGATGGTGGAGAGACTGACTCCAACAGACTTCTGTGCAGCCTTCACCACTCTCTGCAAAGCTTTACTTTCTGCAGCTGTGCAGCCTCCATGCCACACGTTGATGCTGGAGTACAGGATGCTCTCCACTGCACACCTGTAGAAGGAGGTGAGGACTGAGCTTCACAGACCAGCTCGTCTCAGCCGCCTTGGGAAGTAGAGTCTTTGATGAGCTTTCTTGATCAGGCTGGTGGTGTTGTTGCCCCAGCTGAGGTTGTCATTCAGGTGCTCACCCAAGTACTTGTAGCTGGAGACCACTTCCACTGCAGATGTTTGGGTGTGTTTATTTGTGTGTGGGGGGTGGGGGTGGGGGGGTGTTTGTTCCATCTGAAGTCCTTGACCATCTCCTTTGTCTTATTCACTATTCACATTGATATGAAGGTTGTTCTTCCTGCACCAGCTCTCAAGTTGTTCCACCTCCTGCCTGTAGCTGGACTAATCATTGCTTGTGATGCATCTCACCACCGCTGTATCGTCTGAAAACTTTACAATATGGCAGCCTGGATGGGTAGATGCACAGTCACACACGAGCTGAGTGAACAGGAGAGGGCTCAGCACACAGCCCTGAGATTAAACCAGTGCTGAGGGTTATGGTGGAGGATGAGAAGTTGTGGATCCTCACAGATGGTGCTCTGTTTGTTAAGAAGTCTAGGACCTAGTTGCAAATGAAGGGGCTTAGTCTTAGTGTGTTGTGTTGTGCTGAACTGAAATGGAATTGTGTTATTGCATGGAAAGGGCACCAGAGGGTGGGCTAAGACTATATGTTTAAAATACTCTGTACAGAGAGGAAGGAAGGAAGTGGAAAGGGAAATTAAACAGAGAGAACTGAATCTGATCCACATATCTGCTTATTTTTACTTTAATTAGGTCCGAGCAGCGAAGCGCTGCTAAGGCCTATTGTAATTGCTCTGTTCAGGCCCGAGCTGCAATGTTTTTGGCAAATGAATTGGCCTTTTGGGGGCCTTAACATATCCCAAAACTCGCCAAACTTGGCGGACGCATCAGGACTACTGAAAAATTACGTATTTTAAGGGAGTTGCAAAAATCGAAACAGAAACGGCTCAAGAGCGCCACCTGGAAATTTCAAAATACCCTCCGCATTAACCTTAGTTTGTCGTAGAAGCATGAAATTTGGTACACTTGTCCAATTCCCCAAGATGCACAGAAAATATGGCTCAGAACAAAACAATGACACTGTGCTGGATACCTTTGCACTTCCTAGAAACACTAATGAATCTGCTGAACTTAGAAAAAGTCAGAGATCTAGAAATGCACCAAGATGATTAACAGGTTTTGTAAGATAACGTGAACACAAAATGTAAATTACTTCTGTTCAGACTGTTACAAGTGTTCTTTAAGACCAGTAAAATATCCTACTGTTTTGCTAAAGTACAACACAAGAAAATGTTACATACAGTGTAAGTAATTGCTTCAGAGAAAGGGAAAATGTTGTGTTCTGCTGCTGAATTGTTATTGCATAGAAAGAGCACCAGAGAGTGCATGTTAAAAGATACATTATACTATGCAGAGAGCGCGACAAGAGGAAGAACAAAAGTGAAAGTAAACAGGAGAACTGAAGCTGATCCACGTGTCTGCTTATTTTTCTTTTAATTCAGTCTTGCAAACCTTAACATACCCCCCCTCCACCAATTAACCCCCCCCCCCCCACACACACACACACACACACCCAATTACGAATGCTTCTGACACCAATGGCCACCATGCTGTTTAAGCCAAGAGCCATTGTCAGCACTTGGGGCTAAGCACCCCTAAAAGTCAGATTCTAGAATTGCCCCTGTGTAACAGTCTCATTATCCCCAATGAAACAAGTCCTGTGCTGACATGGGCTGAAAGGCCAGTCAGCAGAGAAAAAGCCATTACCCTGAAAGCAACGTTAAAAATGGCATCAAATTACATTACAGTTTATAAATACATACAGGGACAAATAATGTATTTTTGGAAGACATATCCTGTGGTCTGGTAAAAAAAACACTTGGAAGAAAAATGGAGAAGCCTAAACCTTCCTCGACTGTGACGTAACAGGTGTAGCAGCATCGTGTTGTGGAGTGTTTTGCTGCAGGAGTGACTGATGCACTTCAAAAAATGAATGGAATCACAAGAAAAGAACAATATGTGGAAATACTGAGGCAACGCCTCAAGAAGTCAGTCAGTAAGTTAAAGCTTGGGCACAAATGGATTTTACAAATGGATAATGAGCTAAAATGTACTGCTAAATTAGTTGCAAAGTGGATTAGGAACATCACTGTCGATCTTTTAGGGAGGCCATCATAAAATGATCTTAATTCCATAGAAAGTCTGTGGGCAGAGCTGAAGGCTGCCCACAAACCTGTCTCAGTTGCTGTACATGAGTTCTGTCAGGAGGAATGGGACACAACTCCAACAAACTGTGAGAAGCTTCAGGAAGGACACCCAAAACTTTGACCAGAATCATACAGTTTCAAGGACATGCTAGCAAATACTGAGAAAATGTATGTAAACTTGTGACTTTGAAGAAAGTAATAATTTTAATGAAATCAAAAAAAAAATCTCTTTTGTTCTTCAGACATTTAACAAATATAAATAATTTTTGAAATCTTAACTGACTTAAAACAGCAATGATTTAGTTAGATTTAATGATAGACAGTGACAAAAAAATTATTTGTCAATACCATGTTTTTATATGTATGGTTTCAAATGTATGTGTATGTATACACCCTTAAGAGAAAAGAAAAAGAGCGTGCACGGTCAATAATGTGTTAACTGCCCAGATGTTTTAAAAACAAGCAGTGGGGTGTGATCAGATAACAACAGCCTTGCTTATTTCTGGAAATTTATTTGATGATGAAAGTGTTGCAGAAAATGTTACTTTTAAGGAATGCACTTATATTAATAAAAGCTTAGGCAGCTTGAAAGAAACCAATTGGGACATTTTGTAGCATATTCAAAAGTTTATGATAGGTGCATTGAACAATGCCCTCTAGTAAAATGTTCTTACAGCTCTTGCAGCTGTGGCGTCTGCAGCCTCAGCCACTGTGTCTGCAGCATTGATAACCACAAGGCCTGCAGTTATGATATGTCTGCAGCCTCAAAGGTCCCTGGCTGCACCTGCAGAGAGCTACAACTAAACCACAGATACTGTATGAAAGGCAGCTAATGTAAGAACAGAGCAAATCAAAACCACACATCCTGCCACAGCACCTGTACACTCAGGAGCTGAAGGCTCCAGGTTAGACCTCAAGCTTCAAGGATGTGTAGTTGTCACAAACACAGCACCACTCAAACTTTTAAACACCCACCCATGTAGTACAAATACATATTATTTTTAAATAGGGTTTAGTAAATGGCAATGCATAAGCAGAGGCACAGTGATTAATAATAAAATGTTAATCATTTTAAGAATCAATTTGACTTTATTCATTGAACAGTCTTTCTCTGTGCATTGGTTAACTCCCAAGAATTAGATTCCTCCTCTTTCTCAGTACCCTGAATTTATTTAGATAAAGTAATCCTAACTACATATTACACAAGATTACATTTGTAATAAACCTTTTTCAAAGTTACATTCAAACAAACCACAAGACGTTTAGAGTAATATCATTAGGACAAACAAAACCAAAGTGGAGATGTCTGGTCAGGACGGCATGTTTGGAGAAAATCATCCAATTTCTTCATCCACTTCTATTCAGGGTCATGGGCAGCTGGTGTCTATCACCAGCCTTTGTTGGACCAGAGGCAGGGTGCGCTCTGCACAGCTCGACAGTCCATCACTAGGCCAGAGACGAACAACCATTCACATTCACTCAGTTTAGAGTTATAAGTTAACTTCCCACACATGGTTTTAACTGTGCTAGTAAACCAGAGTGGAGAATATCCACACAGAGAGAGAACATGCAAACTTCACATGAAATGACCCCAGCCAAGAGTCAAACCTGCAGCTGCTTTGCAGTGGGGCAACACCTCCAACCATCTGCTCCACAGCGCAGCTCTGTAGAGAAACAAACACAGCCAGCACAAATACTTTATACTGTCTGTTTAACACGTTTGTGGAGGTTTCATTATTTGGGCTTGTTTTGCAGCCACAGTACCTGGACGACCTGCAGTCTTTGACTATGATCTCCTCTGTAGACTAAAGGATTAGAGTCTATGAGACATCAGTCCACTTGACACCTCCCCATTCGTTCAGTTTTCTCATAACTTTAAAGCATGTTGTGGATCATAACCAAATATCCAAGGTGTAGTATTTAAGTAGAAAATAGGTCAATGTCCAAATAAAAACTTTTAAAGGTCTTCAGAAAGACAGGTCAAAATGACCTTAAAACTAATGAAAAGTCTGTGTTGAAGGAAAATATATAAAAATGTTTGGTGGCTCATAATTTAATTGTGTATTGTTTGTGTATCTGTCACAGTACAATCAAAATTCACCTCAAATAAACATCAACTAAATATCCTCAACCCTGATGGGAAATTTCACTCTAACTTAAAGATTTTTAGAGGATTTGGAAGCAATTTGGATTATTTATTTATTTTTTACCAGAAGAGCATAAACATGTTCAAATAAAACTTCCCAGCACCAAGGTTTCTAACCTACAGTCCTAATTACTTGATGGCAGCTGATCCATTATGAACCGAGCCGCAGGCTGCGCCCTCTCAGAAGTCATTAAAGAGCTTTGGAGCTGTGCGCACGCCCGTGGCACGCGCTAACGCCCACCGCGGACACACCGAGCTGACGCCGAGGGGCAAATCAAATCACCCGCTGCCGTGGGTAAGGAGCAACATGACTTCGATCAGAGGAACAGAACAAAGCACTGAGCAGTCTAGAAGGTGCGCGGCGCGTTTCTGGAAGCTCTTTCCGCACCTGACGCTGTGCGGCACGCTGGCTGTGTACGCGGCGCTCGGAGCGCTCATCTTCCAGCAGATTGAAGGACGCAGCTCTGCCAGCTCGACCAGCTCTGAGGGGGAATACCACACATTTCTCTTTGAGATCGTGGAGAAGGTCCAGAATGACACCAGTAAGTCCCGCTGATTCTGCAGCATCTGTGTGGGAGAATGGGGCCCCACTGTCTACACCAGTGGCTTTAGTTAAGAAAGAAAATGTTATACATTCATTTTAGTCTAACAAAGTTAAGTCAGGTCCTCTGGACGGCCTCTCTTTGTTGAAACGTTTTGTCTTTCATCCAAAAGACTTGTCAGTCTGATGAGCCGCAATAAAAACTCAGTCTTTATAAATATCAGCTTCTCATAGTGGATCAACCAGTTTCATGGTGGTTTCTGTAGTCCGCCCTCTCCCTCGATCTAGCTTGAGGCAATCATGGCCAAAGAAACATGACTACAGAAACCACCTGAGGACCATTGACCCACTATGAGAAGGTGCTGTTTGTAAAGACTGAGTTTGTTGTAGCTCCTTGGACTGACACGTTTCAACAAAAAGAAACAGCCTCCACAACCTGACCTTGTTATATTTTCCTACCTGGATTATTGAGCATGAATCAAGATATTGATTTTAGTGTTTTTGTAAAGTAATTTTGAGTCTACATAAAAGGATGTCTGCATGCCATCTAATTTGGTTTACAACCCAAATTCTAAAAAGGCTGACGTAAAGATGGACAGGAGTTCACCAGTCTGCAAAAAACTGTCTAGAAGTTGTGGCACAATTTCAGAAAAATGTCCCTCATCAAAAAATAGGGAAGAATTTGAGAAGTTGATAATACATCAAAAGATTTCCAGAATCAAAACTGAAAGTGAAATCTCTAACCTCAAAGAACAAGACCACAGTCAAAACTGGATGCATTCAATCCTTGAGCCCTCAGACGGCACTGAACACAGGTCTGAATGTGCTGTGGACATAACTGCATTTCTCAGTTATAGTGTTTTCTTATACTTTAAGATAACGGCTTCAACACAACCGTGATAGTGGAGAATGTGAAGAAAAAGATGGAAGAGTTCAACTCGGTATGGTTCCAGAGTCCCAACAGATGGAGCTTTGCTGAGTCCCTGTTCTTCTGCTGCACTGTTTTCACAACCGTTGGTAAGTCAAGGTAGCTACATATGTACTGTGGGTGTGTGTTGTGCAAAATGATTAAAATGAATGATAGCTGGTTGAACTGCTCAACAACCAACAGTGATTACAGTGCTAGTCTGTATCATATCCATGTATTCAATTCAATTCATTTTTATAGCCCCAAGTCACAACAGAAGTCATCACAGGACACAGAAACATTCACACACATTATAAAAGCCAATGAGTAAAACAATGAAGTCCATGCTCAGTAATCCAGGTATACAATCCAACATTTTTCAGCACGATCCGGATCGAAGGTGAAACGTTTCAGCACAAAAAAAAAAGAAACTGTCCAGATGACTTGACTGAAAAATGTTCCAATGAGTAAAAGTTATCTATCTGAGGAGATTGTGTTGAATCATCACTTGTCACAGACGCTCATCCTGAGCAAGCACAAAGGCAACAGTGGAAAGAAAAAACTCCCTTTAAATGGACTGTACTTATACAGCACCTTTCTGTCTTATCAAGACACTCAAAGCTCTTTACAACAATCTGTGCCTCATTTACCCATTCATACAGCTCTATACTAGATCTATACAAAGAATAAACAGAGCTTTATCACATTCAAGCACTGATAGGACACACATCAGAGACAATGAGGGGTTCAGTGTCTTGCCCAGAGACACTCCATGTGACTGCTGGTGGAATCGAACCCCCAACTCTTGCATTGGAGGACGACTGCTCTAACCACTCAGCCACAGCCGCCCCTTTAAACAGGAAGAAACCTCCAACAGAACCAGACTCAGGACAAGCGGCCATCTGCTTTGACTTTGGTTGAGAGGACAGGAAGGAGAGGCGGACAAACAGAATGACAGGTCCAGATGTACTTTCTATTGGAAGAAAGACAAAAAGTGCATATGAAGGATAGAAATAATACCAAATACAAACAGGTAGAGTAGAGCAAATAAAGATGTTAAAGTAAAACATTAGCTAAAGTTAAAGTAAAGATTTATGTAACAGTAAAAAAATGTCAACATATAAACTGATAAGAGCCATCATGAATGGCTGCATGGTAAGTTGCTATTATGTCTAGTTGTCTTGTTGAGTCATTTTACATTCCTCTAGGTGAGATTATCTGAAAAATGTTTTAAGAAATTGGTCAAGACTTACTTTTCTTGTTGAGCATTATCATGATTACAAACTCCATGCCTCCCAAAAACACTCACAGATCTGATGGCAGAGAGCAGGAGACAGGAGTTAATCAATTGCTTTGTTTGATTTGGAAGCATCAAGAGCTCTGATGACTGTTTCTGTGTTGGAATCAATACCACACACATTTGGTTGTTTGTAACATTAATGAGGTAGTTTAATGAGATTAATAGATATTAGTATGAAGCAGAAACTCTGTCCAGGAACTGGAATGTGGTTCTTCTCTAATGGACATAATGGTAAGAAGAAGTAGAAGAACTGCCTGGAAGCATAATTTGTAAAGCAATATGAGCTGACTATGCTGGCTATACATTTGTTAGGATGTTCACGTTGATTTGTTACTCAATAACTATCAATAATCAACTAATCACCTGTTCTGGCAGAGGTGGAACTTTGTGTAAAATGTAGACAAAGCTCAATTTCATGATTTGTAAATTTATTAAAACCATTTTTTTATTCACTATAGAACATAGTTCACATATTGAATGTTGAAATTAAGAAATTGTAAGTAATTTTAAACTTGACAGCAGCAACACATCGCAAAAGAAATGTTGGTACAGCGTCATATTCAACTGTGAAGCATTCCCTTTTTAACAGCAGTCTGTAAACATCTAGGAACAGAGGAGACGAGTTGTTGGAGTTTTTGGAGGAAGATGTTGTCTCATTCTTGTCTGATGTAGATTTTTAGCTGTTCCACGTCACACGTCATGGTACACTTTGACACCAGTTACTGGCCCATGCCTACAGTCTATGCAGAGAAAGCAGAATCATTACAGTAAGTAAACGGTAAATCTGTTGGTAAATTAAGTCTTGGCCATACAAGATCCATCCATTCATGGTAAATGGTAAATGGACTGTACTTATATAGTGACTTTCTATCTTATTTCAAGATACTCAAAGCTCTTTACACTACAATCTGTGTCCTCATTTACCCATTCATACAACACTCTACTAGATCTATACAAAGATAATTGAACAAATAATTCTAATGAGACTAATCAGAGCTTTATCACATTCATACACTGATGGGACACACATCAGAGGCTATGAGGGGTTCAGTGTCTTGCCCAGGGACACTTCAACATGTGACTGCTGGTGGATTCGAACCCCCAACTCTTGCATTGGAGGACGACTGCTCTAACCACTCAGCCACAGCCACCCAAATCCATTATCTTTTACACGCTTTTTCTATTTTGGGCAAGGGGGGTCACGTCACTGGTGCACATATCTAGCTATCACTGGGCGAGATGCCTATAATAGAAACATGAACCAGAAACATGGGTGTGCTATGGGGTCTCCAGTTTCTCCTATTGTTGCCAACCTGTACATGGAGGAGGTAGAAAAGAGAGCCTTGACGTCCTTTTCAGGGACACCACCAAGTCATTGGTTCAGGTATGTTGACGACACCTGGGTTAAAATTAAATCTCAGGAAGTCCAACATTTTACTGACCACATCAACTCTCTGGATAAATACATCAAGTTCACACGAGAAGATGTAAAAAATGGCAAGTTGGCTTTCTTGGACTGTGAGGTCTCAGTCTCTGATAGAGGACATTTGCAAACCGAGGTGTACCGCAAACCCACCCACACAGACCAGTATTTGCAGTTTGACTCCCATCACCCTTTGGAGCACAAGTTAGGAGTCATCAGGACTCTGTACCACAGAGCAGACAGCGTCCCCACTAGCTCGGGAGCCAGGCAGAAGGAGAAATCCTACACAAAACAGGCTCTAGAGCAATGTGGATATCCTAACTGGGCCTTCCTGAAAGCAGAGAAGAAACCCAAACAGGACTCCAGTCAGCCATCAGGTGAAAAGGAGGAACCCAGACCCAGACCAGTGGTCATTCCGTATGTTGAGGGGGTATCAGAGAAACTGAGACGTTTATTTTCTAAACATAACGTCCCAGTGGCTTTTAAACCCCAAAATACATTACGGCAAAGACTGGTTCATCCCAAAGATCCAGTCCCCCGGCACAAACAGAGTAATGTTGTGTATGCTGTTCAGTGTCAGGAGGGCTGTGATCAGTCTTACATCGGGGAAACTAAACAGCCACTGGCCAAAAGGATGGCCCAGCACAGAAGATCAACATCATCAGGCCAGGATTCTGCGGTCTACACTCATCTCCAGGCCAGTGGTCACTCTTTCAAGGATGAAGATGTTCACATCCTGGACAGAGAGGAACGATGGTTTGAGAGAGGAGTAAAAGAGGCCATCTTTGTGAAAAGAAATCGTCCATCATTAAACAGGGGTGGAGGCCTCCGGGTTCAACTGTCCCCCTCTTACAATGCTGTGATTGCTAGTATCACTCATCCCTCTGTGAATAGTAAACAGCCATCAGTGTGCTAATGATCCATTGTTAGGCTGATGGTCCTTCTTGAGCATGTGATCAGTTGGTTTTGGTTGTCAGCAGCAAAACTGGTTGATCCACCCTGAGAAGGTGCTATTTAAGAGACTGAGCTGAATACAGCTCCTCAGACTGAGGAAGTCTCTTGGATGAGAGACGAAACGTTTCTAGATTTTTTTGCTTTGTTTTGTTTTTGTTTTTTTTGAATGTCCAGAGGACCAGATTGAACTTTTTTGGATTTTTCTACCTGGATTATTGAGCATGCATCAGGATGTAGTGTAAAGAGCTTTGAGTATCTTGAAATAAGATAGAAAGGTGCTATATAAGTGCAGTCCATTTACCATTTACACTGGACAGGTCTCCAGTCCATCACAGGGACACATAGAGACAAATGAGACAAACAACCATTCACTCTCTCACTCACAACTAGAGACAATTTAAAGTTACCAATCAGTCTAACATGCATGTTTTTGGTCTGTGGGTGGAAACCAGAGTATCCGGAGAAAACCCACGCATGCACAGAGAGAACATGCAAACTCTACCCAGAAAGGGCCCTGGACCAGGGTTTGAACCAGGGACCTGCTCGCTGAGAGGCAGCAGCTCTACCAGTTGCGCCAAATGACTGAAGTAAACAAAAAAGACGAGCCCACAAACCATCCAGCCATAGGCGTCGCAACCATTATATGTGAAGGGGATGTGTTCCCCCCCCCCACACACACATTTATCATGAAACATTAGTTCAGTCGGCACAGTTTGTCTTTCTTTGTGAACAAATCCATTGCATTTGATTAATAGAATACTCAAACCACTAAAAATCCACTCCAGGTTTTCCTGATTACCTACATTTCAGCAGCCTGCAGTGTTTCTCTTCTGCGTCTCCTGCCTCAGCTGAACGCTCACAGGTGGAGGAGGTAGAGACACCTCTGTGTTGCTCGCTCACCAGCTTAGCGTGAGCAGTTGTTGACCAGGAGGGTTAGGAACATAAACATTTATACATGTTAGGATGCTTGAGAGAAGTGCAGCGCTACATCTGTAGCATCTTAGCTTAGCAGTAACTGTGACGCTGTAAGACGCTGCAGGTGTAAGAGACGGTGTGTGTTCAGGTGCATTAAAGTTGAAATGTCTTTAAAACCCCACACCTTGTTGTCCTCAAGCTTCATGACAAACATCTTTTAGATGAGTAGTGTTGAACACAAGTAAAAAAGTCCAGTGGTGATGTTTTTTATTTCTCTATAAACATAAATAGTGCCAATCTGAGGCTGTGTGTTAATAAAGTGCATTAAAGTTGAAATGTCTTTAAAACAGCTGCATTTACACAAAGTTGGTGAGAAACATGCTTTAAGTGGAATTAAATTAAGGAAATCTAGGTGAAATTATGCTTTTTTGGTTCACTAATGTACACTTTTTTGCACACTTGTGCATGTGTATGTGCACGCATGCACACATAACACACATAACACACATAACACACAC